CAGTTCCTGACATGTCTGCACACAGGCAGATAGAGATCTGCACACACTTCTACTCCACAGCAGTCTTGGGAAGCAGGCAAGGCACATGCTCTGAGGAGGGACAGGATGTGGGCGTCCACTCAGGGAAGCTGCCCAAAGAGCAGAGGCAGGCCAGGTCCAAGCCTCTCCTGGAGCCTCCAAGCTGGCAGACCAGGACCTCAGGTGGCCCTGTGCTGGGAACACTGCTTCCTGGTGCAGACCAGCCAGCAGGACAGATGCTGTTTAGGGAACCTTTGTGGGGTGACTGCTCTATGACTCTGGGCAGTTTTTCTCCAGGATCAGAAGCCTAATTTAGAGGGGGGCTCTATGGCTTCCAGGAGGAAGGCATGGACAATGTCTTCATTCAGAGGTCAATGGCAGTGGGGCAGAGGTACACATGTAGAGGAACTTGGAAACACACCTAAAGATCAACAGTATTAGGCTTGGGCATGGTGGCGCATATGCCTTCAATCCCAGCATTTGAGAGGCAGAGGCAGGCAAATCTCTGTAAGTTCGAGGCCACTGTAGCCCACATATGGACCCACTATAAACGGCGTTCCAGGCCAGCCAGGGGTGCATACAGAGACCCTGTCTCAAACAAACAAAGATTAATATTATTTATATGTAGGGGGTTTTGAGGCAGGGTCTTACAGCCTAGGCTGGCCTTGAACTCACTACGTAGCTGAGGTTGATCCTCCTGCCTTCTAGCTTGGAACCAATTTATTATTATTTTTTTATGTACACGAGTGCCTTGCCTGAACATATGTAAGTGTACCTGTGTCACACAATGCCAGCAGAGGCCAAAAGACAAGAGTCAGAGCCCTTGGAATTGGAGTTACAGATGGTTGTTAGCTACCATGTGGGTGCTGGGAACCAAACTCAGGTTCTCTGTAAGAGTAGTCAATACTCTTAACCACTGAACTATCTCTCTAGCACCTTTGGGACCAATTTTTAGACTATCTACCTAGAATAACAGTCTAGAAGAGCAGAGAACACAGTAAGGCCTGGACAACTGGGGTCCTGATCTGGCCCAACTGTAGAGAGTCCCATTAGGGCCCTCTACTCAGGGTGAGGACTTCCAGAGCCTACCCAGGGCCCCAGTATTTCCCCTACACCTGAGGCTCCATCCCTATGCCTGCTCCCACAACTGCACCTCTTCTGGGTCCTGACTTTCAGGGTGATTCCCCGATCACTACTGCACCTAAAGCCAAGGAGTGAACATTGGGCAGCTGCTTGTGGAGGTGAGATTTCCACATGTGCTCTTGAGCTCCCTCAGGGTGAAAAGGATGGAAGGAACTGTATTCTAGTCCTGGGTATATAAACATCAGAGAAGAGCTGGATGTCTCTGAGAAATCTAAATTATACCACGATGTATTCAGGGATAAGTGACACGTTTTAGTGTCACTTGATTCTTTTAGGATATTCGAGCAAGAGTCAAGTTACAGGAAATGAAAACCATAGAGGAACAAGCTAAATCACAGCTTTTTAAACTGGGTTGTCACCCCACATGAAGTTATATAACTGAATGTGGAGGTTGCAAAACATCTGGCAACAGTAAAAGGCTTCTATAAGCACAAGAAGCAAAAAAGTTATTCAAAATCAAAGCACCATAAATCTGACGTGTTTCTGGCAGTGTTCCCCTGTGTTGCATTGCCCAGCTTTACTGCAGCCTTGGGCATGCAACCTGGGCACTTTGCACTGAGTTGTCACACCATGCAACACCAACAAACGCTGCCTAAATGCTGCAGCTCAGACTCAAGACTGTAGCCTGTTATGAATGGTAGTGTTTTTACTGTATATACAAAGTTTTCTGCTCTTACAGAAACATAACTGTTTAATTATAACAAAGATGTGATATTTTCCTATTGTCATTCCTCAGCATGTAAGTATCAGATCAGTATACCTCTGATTGCCTTTAATCCAGCATTCCTGAGGCAGAGGCAGAGGCAAGTGGACCTCTGAGTTTGAGGCCAGCCTGGTCTACACAGTGAGTTTCAGGTCAGCTAGGGCTACACAGTGAGACAAGGGATTATTTAAAAAAAAAAAAGGAGGGGGGGATGGTGGCATGGCTGGATAGATGGCTCAGTGGCTGGGGGTACTGGCTGGCTCCTCTTGACCCAGGTTCAGTTCTGAGCACCCACAACCCTCTGTGGCTACAGTTCCAGGGGATCCAATGACCTCTCCTGGCCCCCAGGGGTTTTGCATGCATGCAGTACACACATACAAGCAGACAAAACACACACACACACACACACACACACACACACACACACACATATAATAAAACAAAACAAAAACCAAAAAAAGACCCAACTCAAAAGAATACATGATTAAATGTCATGTATGTCATGTAGAATATAGTGGGATCTTGGACCAGAAAAAGGGTATTATGAAAAAAAGAAGGCCATTTGAACATGATACTATACAAATATTGGTTCATTAATTATACTAAATGTAGCCAGGCATGGTGGCGCATGCCTTTAGTCCCAGCACTCGGGAGGCAGAGGCAGGCAGATCCCTGTGAGTTCAAGGCCAGCCTGGTCTACATAGTGAGTTCCAGGATAGCTGGGGCTACAGGGAGACCCTGTCTCAAAAAGGCCAAAAAAAAAAAAGTCTTTTAAAATATATTTTATTTAGGCCAGGCATGGTGGAAAAAGCCTTTAGCCCCTGAACTTGGGAGGCAGAGGCAGGTGCATTTCAGTGAGACAGAGGTCAGTCTGGTCTCCATAGTGAGTTCCAGGCCAGCTCTGGCTACAAGGAGACCCTGCCTCAAAATATTTAAAAAGATTATTATTATTATTATTATTAATTATTATTGTGTGTTCCTGGAATTCATTATGTAGACCAGGCTGGCCTTGAACTCACAGAAATCTGCCTGCCTCTGCCTCCCCAGTGCTGGGACTAAAGGCGTGTGCCACCACGTCCGGCTATTTTTTATTTTTATATTATGTATGAATGTATTGCCAACATGTATGTAAGGGCTGGTGTTATGCAGTGCCTACAGAGGTCAGAAGAGGGCATCCCCTAGAAGTGGAGTTACAGCCTGTTGTTAGCCACCATGTGGGAGCTGGGAACCAAACTTGGGCCCTCTAAAAGAGCCACCAGTGCTCTTGACTGTGGAGCCATTTCTCCAGCTTCCCCGCCCCCCCCTCCAAAAAAAACCTCTTGAGTAACTCAGGCTATCCTCGGACTTACAATGTAGTTGAGGATGAACTTGAGCTTCTGATCACCTATCTCCATCTCTTGAGTGATGTGGTTACAGGCATGCACCACCATACACTACCAATTGAGCTACATCCTCAGACTCTTCAATTTTTCTTAACTTGTTCTAAAAAGAACTTTATTTGAGCAGGGCTCAAATTTATTTATTGGCGCATGCCTTTAATCCCTTCACTTGGGAGGAAGATGCAGGAGGATGAGACCAAGGCCAACCTGTTCTACAAAGCAAGTTCCAGGTTGCTGGGTCTACAGGTAGACCCTATCTCAAAAACAACAATGAAAAGGTTGAGAGAGAAAGAGACCTAAGGAACACAACCTGATGAAATGCATAGATCCAATAAAAAAGGTCCTTTCAGGCCTGCAAAATGGCTCAGTGGGTAAAGGTACGTGCCAGGAAGCTTGATGACCTGAGTTTGATACACAGGACCCCACATTGTAGAAGAAAACTGACTTCTGCAAGTAGTCCTCTGACACAGCACATACCAAACCTCCAATAAATAAATGCAAAAAGGAAGTTCTTTATGGTTCTATTAGAGAAATTTGCACAATTAATAAAATCATATTAGAATTGTCTTTTTTGTCAAGCTGGGGTACAAGAGCCTTGTTTATGCTACACACATGCTTCATTACTGAGGTACACTCCCAGTCCTAAAATTATTCTTTTTGATTTATTTATTTTTATTTTATGTGTATGGGTGTTTTACCTGCATATATGTAAGTGCACCTGTGTTGTGCGATGCCCTCAGAGGCTAGAAGAGGGCTTTGGATTCCCTGGAACTGGAGTTACCAAAGGTTGCTAGCTGAACCCAGGTCCTTTGCAAGAGCAGTCAATGCTCTTAACCACTGAGCCATCTCTCCAGTCCATGTAGCTCATGGAGGGGTGGAGGAGACATGAGAATCAGCTGGCAGCTCCTGAGCCAGCTAAGCTGGAGTATGCCGCCCTTGAAGCAGCAGAAACAAAAGAGACCCTTCTTCAACAATGTAGAATGGAGTCCTGAAGTTACCTTTTGACCTTCACACGTTATCTGTGCTGCACAAATTCCCCTGCACTCAGGCACATGCATGCATGCGCACGCGCACACACACACACACACACACAAATAAAACATATATCATGAATATTTCAAAAGGTCTTAAGATCATTTATTTACATGATCTTCAGGAGTCCCAAGTTAAAAGATTTCCAAATCACTATTGTTCCTCTTTATTTATATATACACATAATTTTTTTTTGTCTTTTTTGAGACAGGGTCTCCCTGTAGCCCCAGCTGTCCTGAAACTCACTAAGTAGACCAGGTTGGCCTCAAACTCACAGAGATCCGCCTGCCTCCCGAGTGCTGGGGTCAAAGGTGTGCCGCCATCACTCCTGGCTTTGTTCCTCTTAATATTAAAGCACTAAAGAGCAAGCTCTTTCAACCCATTCCCGTGTTTATTACCTCTATTCTAAATGGAAGGGAAGACATGCAGAATAAACAGTGACTCCCAGAACCTGTTTCAAACTCGCTGTGGGCTGGACAATGTTTGAAGGAGGTAGCACACACATAAGGGTAAGTAAGGTCTGCACTGGCAACCGGCTGGGACTGCCTGAGTGCATCCCACTCCGTAACCCAGCCTGGACTCCAAACCCCTGGCAATCCTCCTCCTGCCTCAGCCTCCCAAACGCTGGTTTTGTCACCACACCCGATTAAAGGACTCGTTCCTAATTCATTCATCTCGCCCTAGCCCATCAGGTATCTGGGGGGCCCCGCAAGCCCCATCCTTACCAATAGCAAACTTCACTAAGTTTTCATTCTCTTCGGACAGCGAATCGAGGAATAGATCCAGGACTTGAAGTTGTCGCAGATATTGATAGTTGCCAGGATCATAGGCGAAGTTGGCAAGATTAGCAAGGACTTGCTCCTTGGCATCTGCAATCAGAAAGCGGCACTGGGGTTGGGTCCTAGCGGCTGTGGCCATCGGAGCCCTGCCCGGTCCCCCGGCACCCGGTCCCCCGGCGCCAACCGCGGCCTCTCACCTTGGCTCTCGGTCTCCTGGAACTCTGTGACCAGAGCCTGCAGGTACCCTAGCCGCCCGACGTGGGGGTCGACCTTCGGCTTCTGGGCCATGACGGGGGCGGCGAAGGAGCCGGGATGGCCGGTGGGAGCACAGGAAAGGTCAGGCGGAGCGAGTGCCTCACCTGCACCTGACCTGTCTCAGCCGGGACCGACGCGGAGGTAAACCGGGTCGGGTCCTGGGTTCCAGCCTGAAGTGACTGGCAGCTGGAAATGGGCTGTGGGGCTGGGTAGGGGTCTCAGGATCCTCTGAGAGCCGGATTTGGGACCCGAAGTTCGGCCCGGGAGGCGGCAAGCGGAGGCGAACTAGAACTGGAAGCACACACCCACCGCACAGGACCTCTCTGCAGTAGGTTCCCGGCTCAGGGCGGAAGTAGCTCTGGCCCCGCCCCGAGGAGCGGAAGGGGCGGGAAAAAGTTGGGGAGGGGGCGGGGCTACTGGGTGCCTCCCTGCGCGTTCCTGGCTCTTTTTCGCGCCCATCTATTAGCGTCCAGAGCGCACGCGCGGTGATGGATGGGTAGGTGGGTGGATGGAGTGGCCGAGGGGAATTTCGGGGACCCTTAGCAGCACAGAGGAGTTGGAGGGTTCCCATGTGAGGAGTCTTTAGGGAAGAAGCACCTCCAGACCTCCACATCTGGGGCGTGTGTGCACATGTATGTGTGTGCATGTGTGTATGTGTACACGCGGAATCTCCCCGTTTGCCTCAGCTACTCCTTTCCGGAGAGCAAGCGTGGGCTTCTTGCTCCCCCCCCATCTATTTTATTCCCCCCCACCTCAACCCTGGGCCGGAGCTATCTATACCTGTCTCCCCTGGGACTGGGTCAGCCCTATAGCTCTTTGTCAACCAGGTGGATTCGGAACACCCGCAGCCCTGGGAAGAACTCAGGGTTCACCTAGATATGCCACACTGATGGCTTTCTAGGTTGTGGAGCTCTGGATGCTAATTCCTTCTCAGAGCTTTCCAGTGTGAACTGAAGTGTCAAGGGAGAGGTGGGTAAGGGGGCGCCAACACCTGTTAAAGATTCTGCAAGGCTGATAAGAATTGTGTGACTATGGAGAGTTAGAATGTTGTAGATCTGGAGCCAAATTATCTTGGGCTGGTTTTTTATTTTATTTATTTATTTATTTATTTATTTATTTATTTATTTATTTATTTAGTCTTTTTGAGACAGAATCTCCCTGTAGCCCCAGCTGGCCTGGAACTCACTCTGTAGAGCAGGCTGGCCTTGAACTCACAGAGATCCACTTGCCTTTGCCTCCCCAGTGCTGGAATTAAAGGTATGCGCCACCACGCCTGGCTATCTTGGGGTGTCTTTAGTCCCCTTAAGAGCTGTTCATTGCTCACCTCTGTGTCTAATAATCTTTTCAGCTGTCAGGTAAAATCTTTGGAATATATTAACAGACCAGCACTAGCTTCTCCCAACCCAAGAGCTAAAAATGTCATCTGATAACTGACTTCTAAAACCAGGGCTTTCCTGGCTTTACTGTAACCCACCTACCTGATGTTCCCACTGAGATATTTGGGAAAATGCCTTGATTTATGACCTTTTGTTCTGTGACTATAAAAAGTCTGTGTAGCAGCTGCCATGTTGGAACAGGGAAAGGTGAGTTCATGTTCCCAGGCGACAGTCACTCATATTTGGCTCGGGATAAATGATCAAATTTTATTCCCTTTGAGGTGAGTGCTATATTTTAGGTTAACTCCAGGAAGGTGCTCTTATGGTCTGCTGGGCATGGTGGTGCAAACCTTTAATCTCAGCTCTTGGGAGGCAGAGGCAGGATAATCTGTGAGTTTGAGGCCAGTCTGGTCTGCATAGAGAGTTCAAGAAAAACCAGGGCTACATAGTGAGACCCTGTTTCAAACAAACAAACAAACAAAACAAAACACCCCCCCCCCCCAAAGAGAAGCAAAATCTTATGGTCACAGGGAAGAGCACCAACTTTCCAATGCTGTTAATGTGGGAGTAGAGGAGTAAGGCTGGGAGCTTTCAGAGGGCAAGGATTGTGTACTTAACTGTATGCCTGTCACCAGGGGGCTAGATCACAGCAGACTGGTCTACCCATTCCACCCTGCCCTGGCCCCTGTGGTCAATCCCTGCCCAGGTTCTGCGTGGGGCAGGAGTTTTAACCTTAGTGTAGGTGCTTGAGTACCGTGCCTGCCCAGTGAGAGCTCCAGGCCCATTGGTTTCTGGAAGGAGCCTGTCCAGCCTGGGGAAGTACATCTCAGCTCAAGGTGGCCAGAGTCTTCTCTGCCTCTCACTAGACAGAGCAGCAAAGGCTTGGGGTTTGGGGACAACATAGAAGTAATCTCTGCCCTTTTCTGGTGAGGGACTGTCCCAGATCCTCTTAGAGGATTCTCGGGGATCAGCTAAGAGTGGCTTCTAGAATCACATAGTCCACTCAAGTCTCCCTCATTTGTGCCCTATCCCTTCCTAGGGCCTCAGGCTTGGCCCCCTGGAGAAGAATTCTTAGTCTTCCGGTTTTGTGCTGAGGGCAGAGTGTTAGGAATAAATATTTGTTAGAGAAATTCTGCCCAGGGGCTTTTTTTCCATTTCATTTGAACTTCCATTTGTAGCCAAGGATATCATGAATTTCTGATCCTCCTGCCTCCACCTCCTGTGCTGGTTTTTCAGCACACCTGATATTACATGGTACTGGGGATGGAACCCAGGGCTTGGTACATGCTACCAACTGAGCTACATCCCTGTCTTTGGGGTTGTTTTTGTTCATAGATTATTGCCTGGTGGCAAGTGAGGTCAACATTTCCTATGCTGAAAATTCACAGATATCTTTTTTCTTTAAATGTTTTCTGGAAGTGGACCAGAGAAAGAGGATTCTCAATATCACAAAAGCTGATGGATATCAATACCCAAAGCAATCACCCACCAGCTCCAACTCCCTCCTTTTCAATTCAATTAAGATAAAAAATTTCTCACAGCATTTTCCCTTAAGAGCACAAGCCGTGGCTGGTGGCTAAGCTCAGCACTGAGTGGGGAACAGGAAGGTGGTGGGGGATCTTCAGGACCCAGAGGCAGACTTTTCAATTTGAAAAAGACTTTAGTTCATACAGACTAACTTTTTAAAAAAATTACACTTATTTCATATTTGTATATGTATATGCTCATGCATGTGTGGAGATGCCTGTGCCACGGTGCAGATGTGGCCAGAGGGCATCTTGAAGGAAGGGGTACTCTCCTTCCACTGTGTGGGTCCCAGGAATCAAACTCAGGTTGTCAAGCTTGCTAGCAAGCACCTGTACCCACTGAGCCATCTCACAGACCCCTAACTTTTTTCAAGGCCCAGAGATAGTGAAGTTACCTGAAGTCAATCAGCAAGTGCACCCCTGTATTACTTTCTTGGGCCATAAGGGGGCACTTGTGTCAGTGCCTTAGAGGAGACAGGACAGTCCCAAAGATGCTTATTCATGTCAGATGGTCCTGTGGAAGAGGAAGGCTGGCATTGGTCATGAAAATAAAATCATTTTTCCTGATAAGGTTTTCTTGCTGGAGCCTGGTTGAGCCTGAACCAATAAACAAGTTCCTGAGTCTGAGCAGTCTCTGCCAAGCTGGAAGAAAGGAGGAAGTTTACTCCAAGCCTGTTTTCCAGCTTTATTAGTCCAGAGTTTATGACCCGCTGCAGGGAATGTTTTTGTGTATAATTCAAACAGACTGTTTTCCAAGTCCCTGGAGTACCCTGCTGGGACAAGTCTGGGCTGATGACAGCCAGCCCTGGGTGATGACCTCAGGGAGGGGCACCAGCTAAGTGTGGATGTAGGCTTAGCTCCAGGTCTTAGGCCCAGGCTACCAGGGGCAGCTGACTTAGCCAGCTACTGCCTTGAGGTTGATATTTGTAACATGGCAGGGAGAAGAGGCGTCTCAGCAGGCCAAGAGGGAGCACAGGTTATTGCTGCATATGCAAGCCCTGTTTTCATAATGGTTCTTAGAACGCCTAGAAAGCCTTCCTTTCCCCTAGTCAGTCAAATGTCTGCCTTCCCCCTGACTTCAGCATTACACCTCCCCACCATGGATACACGGGGAGAAAAAGAGAGACCCTAGCTTAGGCCCTGCTAAATGGCAGAGGACCCCTCAAGATGTCCTCAGTTCTAAGATCCAAGCCAGGACAGCCTTTTCCAGGACAGCAAAAAGGGCTTCTCTCCTGCTCTCTTTCCAGGTGTCAGGACCAGTATTCCATGATACAGTTAATCTGTTCCCATCCTGGACTGAGACCAACTTTGCAGCCTGGCCCTCCACCTCTGCCTTTCCTAGGGCGCCTGTGAGCATGAGGCCCAGCCACTTGCAGCCATTCCATTAATCTTCCTGATGTAAGAGGTCAGGGCTGGTCATTTAGGAAGACAGGGGTAGGAGGTTCCTGGAAGAAGGAAGGAAGAGTTCCTCAGAACTGTCCGAAGACCGAGAAGGACTAGGAGAGCTGATGGGGGAAGCATGCAAGTTGCATGGGAAGGTCCAAGGCATTGGGTTGTAGGAGTAATCATAAGGAGCCAATCCAGGAGAACTAGTCATAACTGCTTCAAACAGGACTCAGATGCATCTTCTTGGGCCCCAAGGAAGAAAGCCAGGAAGGCCCACCTCTGCATTTGGCTGCCTGGAAGGAAGGTCACTCATTGACCTCAGAGCACAGATGCTGGTCCCACGTGACCTCTAGAGCTCAGACACTGGTCACATACATGTTTTCAGAGCACAGTTGCTTCTTGGCACTGTCCTTGCTTTCCAGGGTAAGACCTTGCATCGGGGTAGTCTCTGAGAGGATGTCTTCCACCTTGGCTTGCCCGCCTTGCTTCTTCTCCGAGGCATAGAAGCCACTGCCCATGAAGAGGGCAGCTGAGATGAGGAAGGCACTTGACATGTAGAACACATAGTTGAAGTTGTTGGTGGTGTCCAGGAGGAGTCCTGGGGGACCGAGAATAAGTTAAGCCACTGTGGGACCTGCTGGGTCTTCCTCAACTCACTAGTATGCTTCTGGGACAGCAGGAATTTTAATTTTGTTTTTATTAGACAAGGAACCACAGCTGGGACCCAGTAGGCACTCAGTAAATATTTGTTGAATCAAGGGAGGGGGAGGAAGAACCTGCCCTCTGGCCTGGGCAGACATCTGTCTTCCCACTAGAAAAGAACTTAAGGGCCTGATGCTTTCCCCTTGGTGACAGGGAGTAATGTGAAGAGGGCTAGTGGAATCAGATATTTTCCAAGCAATCTTCCAGGTCCCTTACCTCTTCCTGGGTCGTACTTATCTGCCCAGAGAACTTCCTTGGAAACTGGGACTTCCAATGTCACACTTAAGGAAAAAGACTCATTGAGCTGGAGTTGACCTCCTGGGACTTACCACGTTTGTTGACTGCCCCCAGCGCCAAGGGCTTTGCCAGCCTTCTCATACCCACTCTGAAGGTCACTCATTCAGTTGCCCAGAAACCTTTTCCTATGGGTCTCCTCTTACAAATTCTGCTTGTGTCCCTCCCTTGCATAAATCCCCTCTGTGGTCTCAAACCTGTCCATTTGCTTCCTTTCCTGAAGAGAAGCCCCAAGAGCATGGTTTTCGGCCATGCGCACTCAGCGACTGGCCTGGGTGAATGAATGGTTACAGCATCCGACTTTGTCTGCATTTTTCAGTTGACATTGCAGCTCAGAGAAGGAAAGTGACTTCCCCGGGCCTCATGGGGAATACAAGAGCCAGGAGGTTAATAACTAAACACACTCACAGCTCTTACCATGTGTCACACTCTCTGCTAAATGCATTGCTTGAGACCCTGGGATCCTTAACAAGCCCGTGAGACAGAGCCTATTATTATCCTGATTCACTGATAAGAAAGCAGAGATCCAGGGAAGAAGATGAAGGATTTGGGTAGACCCGATGTACAAATGCTTTCTCCCTCCCTCCTTTCGTCCCTCCCTCCCTCTGTCCCTCCCTCCATCCGTCCCGTCCTTCCTTCTTTGTATATAACCTTCCTTCACTGTATATAATCAAGGATGACCTTAAACTCTTGATCTTCCAGCCTCCACCCCCCAAGTGGTGGGATTACAGGCATGTACCACCATGTCTCTCTCTATATATTTTGACTGATTGATTTTTATTTTATGTGTATGAGTATTTTGCCTGCATGTATGTAAGTGTACCTGTGTCATGCAATGTCTGCAGAGACCAGAAGAGGGCATTTGATCCCCTGGAACTGAAGTCATGGACAGTAGTTAGCCACCATGTGGGTGATGGAAATTGAACCCGGGTCCTCTGCAATAGCAGTCAGTGCTCTTAATTGCTGAATCATCTCTCCAGCCTCATGTCTATATTTTTGACTGTTCTCACCCTAAGTGCAAGGTAACATCCTGTAGCAGGTCCCCGGGTTTCCTTGGGGAAAAAGATTCACAGATTCCAAGCCTCTTGCAGCAATGGTGGACTGGCCCCAAATCTGTCCAGATATTTTCTTTATCCCTACTGCCTATGCACTCGGCACACAGGTCCCACCTGGCTGCCCTCCCTCCCAAATTCTCACCAGCCAGCGGTGGGGAGATGAGGGAAGCGATGCCACACAGGATGGTGAAGAGGCCCAGGGCACTGGGGAACCGATCCATTGGGACAGTGTCCATGAGGACCTGGAAGAGGAGGATGCCGATGCCACACATGGACAGGCTATACACCAGGCAGTAGCCCAGGAGCACCCGGAAGTCTGCCGACACCGTGCATATCAGGTTGGTGAGCCCATTGAGGAGGATCGCCACGCTGAACAGGTACTTGCGGTAGGCAGCAACGCTCTGCCGGCCTACCATTAGCCCCGCCACAGGCCGCAGAAAGATGTTGCAGAAGCCGATGACTGACATGAGCATAGCTGCCCAATATTCCTCCACCCCATAGTGCATGGCGTATGGCACCAGGAAGATGTGAGGCAGTGAGAAACCCAGGACCATCCACGTCACACCCACTACATATATGCAGTAGCCCATGTTATGCCGCAGGACGTCAAAGGCCAGATGGTAACGGATGGTTGAGATGCATGTTGCCAGGCAGCTGCGTGTAGGTGTCTTGGAAGGTGGAGGGGAGACTTCTTTGATGTCGGGGCCCACACTGGTGGCCACAGGTCGCAGGATGGCTCCGCAAACACAACAGTGGAGAAAGACCCCACCGAAGACAAGGAAGGCACCCCTCCAGCCCAGGGCCTCCAGGAGGTATCGGGCCAGCAGTGGCCAGAGAGTGACGCCCACGGAGATGCCTATGGAGGCCAGTGCATTGGCCAGCGGCCGCCGGCGGACAAAGTACAATCCCAGAACCGTGATGCCAGACTGGAAGCTGAAACACATGCCCAGGCCTGCAGTGCAAGGGAGGGGACATCGGCTTAGGGGCATCCTGGGACTTCCCATCACCACCTAGAGACGGGGTCTTGGCACATTGTCCCATGCTACCTTCTTTGGTTCTAGGCCCGACCCACTTCCAAATTCCCATGAGTGGAAGACTGTTGGAAAGTGCCTCCCCACTTCCCTGTAAGCATCTCACCCAGCTCTGCCTCCCAGTTCCCCTCTGTACAACACACCGTGTTTAAAGTGGCCTTTTAAATGTCCCTTTAACAACTTCCAAAGACTGTCTGTCATACATAAAAAAATCCTAAGTATTTACTATGCCCTGGAAGGCTCTGTGTGGTTTGGTTCTGGCCTAATCCCCGGACTCCATCTCAAGCCACTCCCTGTCAATCACCAGGATCCAGCCATATCAGCTTCTTTTCCTCTGGATAGCAACCTGTTTTATGATCTTTGCCATGACTATCTCTTCTCCCTAGAATATGCTCCACTCAGCCTGTCCGGCTCCCACACCCCTACATCTGCTCCCCACAGATGGGCTAAAAAAACCTCATAATGGTGTTTGAGGGCTGCCCCTATGCCCCTATGCATTCTTGATCACTCACCTGCCTGCCCTCCTAGGTGGCCATCTGGACCTCTTCTACCTCTGTGTGCCCCCAGCACCTCCTTCCCAACAACACACTCAGCTGTCCATCTGAGCAATGTCTCACCTGTGCTCCCAGTGGTCAGCTTTTTACTTCCGCCCTTCAGCCTGTCTCCTCAAGCATCACATCAGTGATTTCCCTCTCCCGAACCATTTTCCCCCTCTTAGTTTTCTTTTAGACAGGGTCTCCCTAGAACTAGCTGTGTAACTCAGGCTGGCCTCAAGCTCACAGAGATTCTCCTGCCTCTGCCTCCCCAGAACTGGGATTAAAGGTGTGTACTACCATGCCCAACATGCACAATTTTTTTTGGTCTTTTTGAGACAGGGTCTCCTGGAGCCCCAGCTGGGCTGGAACTCCCTATGTAGACCAGGCCTTGAACTCACAGAGATCTGCCCGTCTCTGCCTCCCAAGTGCTGGGATTAAAGGCATGGGCCACCACACCTGGCTAACACAAGTATTTTTTAAAAAACATGTATCTAGATGCTATGGCACATGCCTCTAACCCCAGAACTTGGGAGGCAGAAGCAGGAGGATTACGAGTTTGAGGTTAGCCTGGGCTACATAGTGAATACCAGACCCACAAGTTCCAGCCCATTTCTCTGGTTCTTTTAGATTAAAATGCAATGGAAGGGGTTGGAGATGTGTCAATGGTAGAATACATGTGTAGGTTTGTAAGGCTCTTTGTAAACTCTTTGTAGGGTTCAATCCCTAGCACTGGGAAAAGAAAGAAAGAAAGGCAGGAAGGCAGGAAAGAAAGGAAAGGAAAGGAAAGAGAGAGAGAGAGAGAGAGAGAGAGAGAGAGAGAGAGAGAGAGAGAGAGAGAGAGAGAGGAGAGAGCGCAATCTGGGCATGGTGGTACACACCTGCAATCCCAGAACTCTGAAGGTTGAGGCAGAGGGATTGTCATGAGTTTGAGGCAACTTAAATTCAAGTTATGAACTACATAAGTGAGACCCTGTCTCAACCTTCCAATCAAGAAAATAGAAAAAGGAGGAGGAGGAGGAGGAGAAAAGGAGGTGTGGAGGCAGAGAGGAAGAGAGGGATGTGAATGCTGTCTCTCAACCCTCTTGTGCCTATTCTCCCCGACCCCAGCAGTACTGGGGATCAAACATGCTAGGCAAACACTCTGCACTGGGCTGCACTCCCAGCCCTTACAGTTCTCTATTGAATCTGTTCCATCCAGACCTTGACTATTGGACTCATAGCTCTATGCCAGGCTTGTTCTTGTCAAGGCCTTATTGCTGAAGGGTGAGTAAGGCCCTCAGCTCCTCAGCTCATCTGATGCATTGGTAGCTTGGCACGCTTCATTACTGTCTTAAAAAACTATTCTCATCTTCTAACCTCTACAGCCCTTACTCTTGGCCAGACTTCTGTCCAGACTCAGTCATTCCCAGCTGTCACTCCCCTCAGTGACAGCAGAGCGATTTCTTACCACAAGATTTTGTTCCCACTTATCTGAGCCCTGAACTACCTGCTTCTCCTGCTGGGACCTCAGCCTGTCCAAGACTGTGCTCCACATCTTCCCCTTATTTGCCCCTCCTGTCTCCCCATGGTAGTTCATGGCTGCTTCATTCTTCCAGTAGCTCAGGACAAAACCCTCTGTTGTCATCTTCTTGACTTAGAAACTTGGGTCATCCGAACTCTTCTTTCTGTACCTCATATACCGCCGGAGCCCAGCCTCCCCTCCACTTCCATCATTCCACACCTGTTCAAACTATGAATTCCTGGCACCTGGCTCACTCACCCCTAGAGTCACCACAGCCAGAGTGATGCTTTGCAAATACCACTTAGATGATAGTCCCTCACTCCTGTGTCCAAATCCCTCAAGTGACTTTGTATCTCACTACAAAACTATTTATGAACCAAGCCCCAATCGTGTCCCCACCCTCCCTCTCAGCTCCTTGTCCCTGCTTCTCTAGTGCCTGAACTTCATGCCTGCCCACACCGGTTCAGGTCAGGATGCTTTCACATCCCCAGTCAAGTCTTCTCACGCACTGTCAGGACCTGAAGTATTTAAGCATTCTTTTTTTTTTTTTTTGTCTTTTTGAGACAGGGTCTCTCTCTCTGTAGCCCTAGCTGGCCTGGAACTCACTATGTAGACCAGGCTGGCCTTGAACTCACAGAGATCTGCCTGCCTCTGCCTCTGCCTCTGCCTCTGCCTCTGCCTCCTAAGTGATGGGATTAAAGGTGTGCACCACCACGCCCGACTTTTTTTGGTCTTTTTTGAGACAGGGTCTCCTCATAGTCCCAGCTGGCCTGGAATTCACTATGTAGACCAGGCTGGCCTTGAACTCACAGAGATCTGCCTGCCTCTGCCTCCCGAGTGCTGAGATTAAAGGCATGTGCCACCACACCCAGCATATTTAAGCACTCTTATTGATCTGTCCCTGGTCTGTTCCCTTCATAGGACTGTAAGCAGTTCTTGTCTACCCTGCCTGCTTCTGCCTAACACTTAGAAAGAATGACAGTTACCTGTGATCACCCCTGCTGTGAGGAAGAACTCGCTGAGTGTGCTGGAGAAGGAGCTGGCCACCATGCCCAGGCTGGCCAGCACCCCCCCTAGCATCATGGTCACTCTGCAGCCAAAGCGTTCCACTAGGATGCTGCACAGGGGTCCTGTGGGTAAGACAGGTAGCATTAGGTTCAGAGGTCTAGAGTCAGGAGTACAGTAGGGCTGGGGAGAGGGGTTCTAGGAAGGAACTAGCCAGATGGCTAAAGAGATACCCAGAAACTGCCAGCTTGGCTTCTGATCTGTATTCTGCCAGTATGGTCATGTGTTTCTAGAAAGGCTTGATTCCTCTTTCTGCCTCAGTTTCCTCTCCTACAAAGCAAGGGGTCAGACTAGGTAATGTGTGACCCCAATAAGGATACCTAGAGAGGCTGACCAAGGACCTTCACTGACCTAACCTGAGACCAGTTTCATGTGAGTGAAACAGTTTTGGTTCATGACCTGCGTGAACACCCTTGCCTGGGGTCTGTCTTAGGAGGGATGTCCCTAAGGGTCTGATCACAGCGAACACCCCCTTTTTTGCTATCCCACAATCTCCTGGAAGATTGGTTACTGTCCTTACTCCACCTTCCAACCTCATACACTTGACTGGGGCTCTGGAGCACCCTGTGACTCTTTGCTCTGGCCTCTGGAGTGTTAGGGAGGAAACCAGACCAGAGGTACCTTCTCCCGACGCACATCCTCTCCATCCACCACCAAAATCTATGCGTATAGGGCTGGGGATGTAGTTGAACGAGTAGACCTTGGGTTCTAGTTCTAGTATAGAGAGAGGGAGGGAGAGGGAGGAGGGGAAGGAGGGAAGGATCGAAGGGAAGGAAGGAAGGGAGGAAGAAAGGAAAGAGTAAAAAGAAGGAAAGAAAGAAACAATCCAACTCTCCCAGATCCCCCAGTCCACTCTATGGAGAGGGGTCTGTCGGAACCCCCAGCTGCTTTCCTCCCAACCCCACACCCTGGCAAGTAGAAACCAGCCAGACCAGCCAGCTGTGAGGAGTCATCTCAGGCCACATTCACTGAGTGCCCTGCCCCTAGGAAGCACAAATAATAGAGCTTTTCCAAGTAACTGTCCCAGAGGGCAGAGGAAGTGTGCACACATGCGTGATGTGTGTGCCTGTGCAAAGATGAATATGTATGGAGAGGAAAGTGTGGTGTGAGCCAGGGTAAGTATTGAAACGAGAAGGAAGATGTGAGCAGCCAGTGCTCAGAGAAAAGCAAGCAAGGTTGCTGACCAGCATGCTCTCGCTGGTGCAGAGCCTGAGGGAGGTTTTAGAGTGTGATGAATGGTCCACACATCTTCCCCACCTTTGAAACTTTACCTGACTCAAGAAGGTGACCTTGGGAAGAATTCTGACTCAGATGGGGAGAGGGTGGGGCTGAGGTGGAGCCTCAAGGCAGGTCTGCCCTCTGCCAGGCCAGGCATGGCTCCAGCCCTGACTCCTTCCTCGGTCTGGCTGGCCTCTTGCTTTCTTCCACACTACAGTATTCTGAATGAGCACAGGCTTAAGGTGTGTATGTGAGTGAGAAGATGGAAAGGCAAGAATCCAGCTCAACAGAGCTGGGGGTGCCTGCAATGGGGTGGTGAGCCCCAAGCTGTCTGCGGAGTGGGGAGTCTCCATGGGTGTCTAGTTCCAAGCCTCTAATCTAGGCCTCCCTCTGTCTGCAAGACAAAGACCCATCTGAGATTTCTGATGTCTACCTGAGCCCTGCAGGCCAAGAGACCACACATTTTAGGCCAAACCTGACTTTTCCCTCTTGCCCCAAGTCTATGCCCCCAGCAGCCAAGTCAAGGGTCATTCTGGAGGGTGGCGATCTTTCCCAGTCTCCTTCTTCCCAATGAGAGGGAAGTATCTGGAACAACCAGCATGCTGCATTGCTAGATAGAGGTAGGAGCAGAGAGGAACTAAGGAGCTGGGGTCAGGCAAGCAGACATGTATGGCAAGTAGACATGTATGTGACAGAGCCCTGAGGGTAGTTAGCTCTGGTTCTGTTGACTAAGCCCTCTTTAAGGTCACCATCTATTGAGCCACCCTAAGAGGGAGGTCCCAGTACCCAGGGTATCTATCCAGAGCTCAACCTTTACCCCTATCATTGGGATCAGGGTAAGCTGGTCACATTCCTGGAGTTGCCAACCATGTACGGGGCCTTTAAAGAACATGGTCAGAGAGGGAGGAGAAGGGGAAGGCAGGGTTTGCCTTTTCTCCAGGCTCCTAGAGAGCCTGGGGGGAGCTCAGGGAGAGATGTCACTCTTGCTATGCCCCCTTTTTGACTTTTCTTTTCCCACCTGATGCCCCACTGAAGCTCCTTAGTGAATTATAATTCATGGCCCAAGCTGGGCGTGGTGGCGCATGCTTGTAGTCCTAGCACTTGGGAGGCAGAGGCAGGTAGATCTCTGTGAGTTCAAGGCCAGCCTGGTCTACATAGTGAGTTCCAGGACAGCTGGGGCTACAGGGAGACCCTGTCTCAAAAAGACCAAAAAAATTTTTTTTAAAATTCACAGCCCTGTATATTTCCTAGCTCCTACCACCTCCAAGGACCATGAGGTTTCCCCTACTGTTCCACATGGGAGCTGGGCAGGATGCCAGCTATGAGGCTGTGACCTCCTCGTTTGGAGGAAGAAAGGAGGTTCTGAGAGATGTCCCAGCTGGAAAGAGGTAGAGCTTGGGGCTTACCAGCCCCAGTATGGATTGTCTTTCAGCTTGTCACTGAAAGCCTCCACTGGGTTACCAGGAGGACTTTGGAATCTGGCTTTGTGCCTCTCCAGTTTCCCAACCCCTAATGCATCCCAGGCTTCTGGGGATGCAACAGTTCAGCTGAATTCTAGCTAGGGGAGTTGGCCCTGCTTAAATCAAGTAAATCTCAGGAATGCACTCAGGAGGTGAAGCCTGTGGCCTCAGAGAGAGGGACTCAGGAGGCCAGGAAGGTTGTGACTCCCCCGTCCCACCACCTTGAATCCCCTATGGGCTCTTTGTCCCTTCTCGCCAGCCCTCTCTCCATGTTGCTCACCTCCACCATGGACCATGGCCCCCAGGATCGAGGGGAACCAGGAGGTCTCACTGTTGCTGGCTTTGAAGTCACGCTGCAGATCAGTGAAGAAGACGCCGATGCATGCAGGGAAGCCCATGGTGAGGGCCTGGGTCACCAGGGAGGCCAGCAGGACCACCCAGGACCACCTGCTATCTGCACGCTCCAGGACCTGGGGCATCTTCTGCTGCTAGATCTTACAGCCACTTTGTGATCACAGCCTGGAAGGGAAGAGAATGGAGCCTAGTGGTTGGCAGGCTGCCAGCCCTCTCTTAGCCCACCTGCCACCCTGCCTGGGTGACTGAAACTGTCTCTTCTTTATGCTCCAACACCAGGTATCAAGAAGGGGCACCACCCCCTGGGAGGTGGCAAGAAGCCTTTGCATTGGCCTTGGCATCTCCTTTCACCCACTTCCCAGGAGCAGCCCAGCTGGACGTGGCAGGAAAAGCAGCAGGGGTGGGGCAGGCAGTGGCCAATGGCACCAGGTGGGTAAGTGGAATTCTTTCTAGTTATTACATCACTCAGCAGTCAGCAGGCAGCACTCCTGAAACATTTGATAACTGTTAGGAGAATGGAGAAGACCCCAGGCCAGTAAAGTCCTAGCTGCCCCAAAGGTGGACATGGATAAGTTTCCAGACACTCATGACTGAGATTCCTGTGCAGACTTTTGCAATGTGATATCAACCTAAGGCCTCTGTCAGTGTGGATGTGAAGGATGAGGTGAGCAAGTTGGAGCAGAGGTCACACACAAAAGCTTAGCAAGGGCACCTGACCTGCTGTTTTCAGAGAGCCCTTTGAAAGCACCTTACAGAACTCCTTTCACAAGGAGTTCAAGACCAAGAGTCAAGTTCCAGGGCTGTGCTAAGTTGCTGAATAATGAATGACTTGCTACCTGCAAGGGCTTCTCTGAGTACCTAGTTACTCAGAGACACACAGGCACAGATACACACATACATAGTTGCACACAGACACACACACTCATATGAAGACACACAGGCATACACAGACCTCATGGGTATACACACACACACACACACTCTAAATAAATAAATAAATAAATAAATATATATATATATATATATATATGCACCCAGGAGCTGGAGAGATGGCTCAGCAGTTAAGAACACTGCTCTTGCAGACGACCTGGGTTCGAATCCCAGCACCCATGTAGCAGCTAACAACTGTCCATAAATCCAGTTCCAGGGGATCTGACAGCCTCTTCTGACCGCCATGGGCATTGCCCACATGGGTGCATTTACCTACATGCAGGCAATACACGCATACACACAAAATAAAAAAAAAAATCAAAAACATAAAAGCATGCTGGGCATGGTGGCGCACGCCTTTAGTCCCAGCACTCAGGAAGCAGAGGCAGGTGGATCTCTGTGAGTTCAAGGCCAGCCTGGTCTACATAGTGAGTTCCAGTACAGCTGGGGCTGTAGGGAGACCTTGTCTCAAAAAGACCAAAAAATAAAAACAAAAATAAAAATAAAAGCATATGCAGACAAACTGAGATGTGCATGCAAGGTACAGAGACACACAGAGACACACGAACACACATGATAAAGCCCTTGCATCAACCAGGCCTTCTCAGCTCAGTACTAATGCCCATGCCATTGCCCCTTACCACAGAAACTGCTATAGTCCCAAGGGCCCTACCCTGTGCAATGGAGAGTCATTTTTGTAAAATGCCTCTGTCTCCCAGAGTTGCTGGGATTAAAGTTGTGTGCCACCACGCCCAGCTCAATCCTAGAGTTTTAAAACAGCACTGTATATAGCAGGCCATGCTCTGCTCTGAGTTAGTCCATTTTGCATAGAGCTGCAATTTGGGATGAAAATGTTAAGGTAGGGGCTGGGGATATAGCTCAGTGGTAGAGCACTTGCCAAAAAGCTAAGGTAGAATGACTCAGCATCTTGTTTCATTTTGTATGTGTGTGCATGTGTGCCTGTCTATCTGTCTGTCTAGTGTGTGTTTTAGTCTTTTATGAGAAAAGATCTTGTTCTATAGCCCAGGGTAGCCTGGAACTCACTATGTAGCTCTCATTGGCCATGGGCTCATGAAAATCCCCCTGCCTCAGCCCCCTAAGTGCTAAGATTGCAGGCATGAGCCACCACACCCAGCTTCAGCATCGTATTTATGCACATAAACCACCACCATATCTCTGGCAGGCACCACCATAAGGCACAGATTGATAAGTGACTTATTCATGCCAATAAAAAAATGACCTTCGGGGAGTACTCGACACACCAGACCAAAGAATGATACAATCCCCTCATTAAAGACATAAAAAGAGAGACAACTTCAGAATGTAACGCAGAATATCAGCTTGTCAGTCTGTGTCACAGGCCCCTCCAGTGGACACCTCACAGCCCTCTGTCCCGGAGATTACCAGGTGACCAATTCTAACTGTCCTTAGCTTAGCTCAGTGCATCATCTCTCCCACTGACACCACCCACTTCCAGGCCCTAGTATGGTATATGAAGGGTAGGCTTTACCTTCTTTTTTATTAAAAAAATATTTTATTATCATAATTTTTAAAATTTTATTTTATGTGTGTGCATGTATTGCCTGCATATAGGTAAGTGTACCAGTGTCGTGCAATGCCCTTGGAGGTCAGAAGAGGCTGTCAGATCCACTGAAACTGCCATGTGGGTGCTGGGATTCGAACTCGGGTCTTCTGCAAGACTACCAGTGTTCTTAACTGCAGAGCCATCTCCCCAGCCCCTTATTTATTATTTTTATTTTTTATGTGTATGAGTGTATTGCCTGAATGTTTGTGAGTACACCCGTGTCGTGCAGTGCTGCAGAGGTCAGAAGAGGGCTTTGGATTCCCCTGGAACTGGAGTTAAGGACAGGTTGTAGCTGCCATGTGAGTGCTGGGAATTGAACCCGGGTCCTCTGCAAGAGCAGTCAGAGCTCTTAACTGCTGAGCCATCTCTCCAGCCCTAGGCTTTACCTTCTTGACCGCTCCATTGTTGACTCAATGCCTGACTGCCTGCAGTAGGCAGTCACCCCTCATTTATATCACCCATATATAAATGACTGTGACTCATTTGCTGTGACTCCGTGTTGCTTCTTTAAATCTTATAATCTTATATATATATACACACTGTGTGAAGGGTGATGTGTAATGTGAGTTTTATAAGTAGTTAAGATTAAAAGACAAAGGTTGGGGAGATGGCATAGTGGGTAAGTGCTTGCCATACCAGCCTGATGATCTGAGTTCAGATCCCCAGAACCCAAATAAAATGTCAGATACAGGGCCCTTGAGATGGCTCAGTGGTTAAAGGTATTTGCTGCCAAAATTAATGACCTGAGTTTAGTCCCCAGGACCCACATGGTAGAAGGAGAGAACCAACCAACACACACACACACACACACACACACACACACATACACGCACAATGTAATTTTTAAGAAGTGGGCTGTAGATGGGTGTGGTGGTGCACACCATTAATCCCAGCACTCAGGAGGCAGAGGCAGGTGGAACTCTGTGAGATAGAGGCCAGCCTGGTCTACATAGTGAGTTCCAGGCCAACTGGGGCTACAGGGTGACCCTGAGTGAAAAAAGACCAAAAAAATAAGTGGGATGTGGTAGCCCATGTCTGTAATCCCAGTGCTCCTTCTGCAACTGGAAGGGAGACAAAGACAGAATTGCCCAGCAGTGGACCATCAAGAGCCGGCGAACCTAGAGTACACGGTAAAGCAACAGAGAAGGCAAGAGAGACCCTGCCTTCAAACAAGATGGAAGGCTAGGGTGAACGCCCAAAATTGTCCTTTGCCCTCCACACATGTGCTGCAGTGTGCACGTGGGTCCCCTCCCTACCACAAAGATCGGAATAGAAAAGAACGTAGTCGGTGTGGTCGAGATTCCAAGTGTAACCAGGAGTACTCCTGTCAAGGAAAGCAGGTGAAACTGATGCAGTTTGTGGATCTGTTGTTATTCAATACATTTTGACAATGTGGAAAGATATAGACATGTTGGTCTATGTTAATGCCATAGCTGGTTCATGACAAGCACCTCAACTGGATCTACCCTAAGCTGTCTTCTTCAGGGCTCTAAACCTCCTCCCTATGGGCTCCCTGGGCATCCCATTCCTCACAGACTCAGGATGTGTGTGAGCCTGTGTGTAAGGTGAAGGTGGTCCCTCCTGTTTTCCCTGCCTCTGTGTGGGATTCATTACTAACAATGCCCGTCCCATCCTCCTCCTGGTCTGCTCCAGGCCAGCAGAGATAGGGGTACCCTAGATGGGGCTCCTTCAGGAAAATGGTTCTGGCTTCTCTCAGGAGTCAATGGAACAGCCACAAGTGCTCCTGGGTCCTCCCTGTGTGGCTCCAGTGCTGTTCTCATACCTTTCTCCAAGGTGAACTCCCCTTAACTCATGCAGCCCTTCAGCCTTCATATCTACCCCAGGGTTTACACGCTTCCTTACTTCCTCCTGCCTGTCACAGTTCCCCGTCTTCACTGATCTGCTCTAGTTCCTTCTTGCTTTTCTTTGTAAAGTCCTCTTGGTGGAGAAACCTCTTTTAGTGCCTTATCAGGCCTGGGACAGGGGTTCCTGTGACCTTTACCTGTATTCCACCTTCCTTGAAACTTGCAGTAGCCAGAACTATCTCTTCCCAGTATTTCTTCTCTCTAGGCCTTAGGAGATCTCTGCAACCTCCAAGACAGTCAGAGCCAGGAAACCTTATGGACCTTTGCTCTGTACGTACAGCTCCGAGCTCTGAGCACCCCCTCCCCTCCCCCACCTCAGGTCCTATGGAAGCTATGGAAGCACTGCCACCCTCTGCAGACTCATCTTTCCATGAGACAGCCATCTCTTTGCATACTCCCAGAACTCCCAGGTCACATATACAACATTTACGTGGCATTGGTTCTTCAGTCCCTGCTCTTCCCTACTTGGGCCTTTGTTAAGACCTTAGCTGCTGCTGGGTGTGGTGGCGCATGCCTTTAATCCCAGCACTTGGGAAGCAGAGGCAGGTGGATCTTTGTGAGTTCGAGGCCAGCCTGGTCTACATAGTGAGTTCCAGGACAACTGGGGCTACAGGGAGACCCTGTCTCAAAAAGACACACACACACACACACATACACACACACACACACACACACAAAGACCTTAGCTACTGCTGTGGTTCTGAAGTTCTTTTTTTAATTTTTTTTATTATTTTATTTTCTTATTTCTTATTTTTATTTTATGTGTATGTGTGTATTGCCTGCACGTAGGTAAGGGCACCTGTGTTGTGCAATGCCCTCAGAGGACAGAAGAGGCTGTTGGATCCCCTGGAACTGGAGTTACAGTTGTTAG